CGAGAACCACCCACCCACCCAACACAACCCCCCCATCGTTCCGTTCAGTCGGCGGGGGAATTGACGGGGTGGTTTTCTAGGACCCTCACCACCACCACCCCCCTTTTCAGCCCGTTTCTAAGGGCTCCTTGCCGAGGAATGCGAGCACCCAGGGGCCGAGGGGTTACGCCAGCCAGGAAGCCGGCCCGAGTGGCCCTCTGCAATAATGTTTCTGTACGGAACGACGAGCAGCGCAGGCGAGCGCCTTTGTGGCAGGGCGCAGCACAGTGTTGCCCCCTCTTTTCTGATGCAAATGTCCCCGCTGGGTTTTGTCGCAAGGCCGATAATGTGCTGGGAAAGTGGACACGGAAAAGGAATGCAAACTAAGAGGGGACACGGAGGGGGGTGGGGGTGCCTCCTGTCAGGGTCGCATTATCCAATAGGCACATTCGGCACTGTGCATGGGGCCTGCTAAAACTCAAGGGCCTACAAACAAAAATTGACCGTGTTTTTTGTTGTTGTTGTTGTTTGTACGATCAACAAAAATGTAAACGAGATATCTTCTTGAATAAATATATTCAAAGAGCACAGTGTAGAAACAAAGAGGCAGTCAATGTTAGCCCGTTTTTTCATACGGTGAGAGAAATTAACACCGGAGATGAACTTTTCGAGATTTTTTTTGTTCATAGCAAAATTAGCAAATAGAATCTTCAAATGGTGTTTTTCGCACGAGCAGGCGAGTGAGAGCGGCGGTAGTTAACCATGTGTAGTAGCAGTGTAGCAACTGTAGAAAGTCATCACTTAAGGCCTACGAAACAGAAGTGCCGAAGGCCGAGAAGCAACTTCTTCCAGGCCTGCCTCCTGTCTGTTCCTTGGTTCCCCCTCCCCACATCGAATTCAAATACTTCGTTTTTTTTATTTCGTGCTTAAATAAAAGCAATTTTTGTTCACTCGTTTTTTTGTAACGCACATATGGTTTTATTTTGGTGTGTTTTTCTCTCTCAAGTCCTTCCTATGAACTGAAAAAAGTTGCCTTGAAAAACAAAATCTCATTTTATGGCTGCAATTGGAATTCATAAACTGCTACTTTACACTCAAAGTATCGTATATTAAGGCATTCTAATTATCACTACTTTAAGCAATGTGATAATACGAACCATCGGCACTTAAAAGTTTCCTTTCAGCAAAAATTTTTAAATAAAGGCGATCCAAACATGTTAGCCAAGTACAATATAAAAGGATGCAACTACAATACAGAAAAATGTACTTTTGGGTAAAAAGTATTGTAAAGCAACACATTAATTTAAGCCAGCTAGCTGAAAGGCCACGACATTAATGTGTTTTCCCATTCAAACACTGGGGGACACATGCTCATCTACTTAAATATTATTACATTTGGTACGTTTACCATCTTCATGAGTCCCTGTGGTGTAATGTCGAAGCTAGCTCACAGCACATATCGTCCTGAGGCAGTAAGTTCGATACCCTATCAAAGTTTTTAAAACCTCCAGTCCGTATCTCTAACCCAGCACAGCCTCTGCTGAATTATCGATTACAACGATTATGTTACAGCTCCTTCAGGGCTGATCAGCAGATATTTTGCTGGACAGTAAAGTGCGGATATACCCAGCTGACCAGCTCTTTCAACCCATGTTATTAATGTGACAGAGGTTAAATGCATCTACAAAAGGGAGCAAATCTGCCTCCAGAGGGATTAGCTGTATGTGCAGCGTTCACCTTTACCTACTAACGAGTCTGCACTATGCATAAAGCAGTAATATTTAGGATGGTAAACGTAACGCTTCCTTTCACATCTTTGTGAGGTATGTCACAGTATGGAACGATGGTGCACTGATAAATGCACTTCGCTATAAACTCACCAACCTGAGTTTGATTCTCAACCCACAGCTAATATCAGTCCTGAGTAATATATGAATCTGTCCTGGATCCCTCCATCACCAATCCACACTGAACAACGTTAAGTATGGTCAAACAACCCCCGTGACCAACAAAGCATGGGGAAGACTTCACCCAGCAGTACAAGGGCTTTAAATTATATTCCACAGTGCCAGGTTATGTTACAGGTAAATTAAAATGATTAATATTCTTAAAAACCATGTCAACAAACCGAGTGTACACTAATTTAACAGATTTGTATAATTTAAATGCGCTATGATAGTATTTAAAACATCTATTACTTACCATAAGATCAGGGATATTAACACCACACATTTTTTTTCAGGTCTCACGGTCTATAAAACATCCCATTGTAAAACATGTCAAGTGCAAGTTAAAATCCCAGACTAATTGGCAGCTCTGCAAAGGGTGCATTGGCCAAACAGCTCGCTAAATCTATGTTTCTATGGTTCGGCTTATTTTTGGCACAGATAAAACACACTGGGCAATACATTTTCGATAAGGTAAATTCTTAGATAACATTAAAGATGACGGTGGTTAAGTTATTTCGCCCGAGCAATTAAAACATGTCATAGATTACTAAAACCAAATATGTGCTGAAAATTAAGGACCTAACTGAGAAGACCACACAAAGTCTAATATTCCAGATTGCACAGTTCAAACATGCACAGCCATGGGGCTAATTACGGGCCGCTTATGGCCAACATTGGACCACGTTTCCCAGGAAGTTTTATGTTGTCGTTACCTATTACTTAAAAGCCAAAAGGTTCATGGACACCGAAACGAATCCACGTGTCTTACGGTCCCCAGTATATGCACCGTTTTTCTGAGCACTTTAACCGCAAAAGGTCACATCAGCCAATGGCCTGTTGCATAGAAAAACTTCACAGTGATCTTTACCCGTCTTAATAGATTTGTAAAACGAAGCGTAAATGTAATCTTTAGGTGTTTTATGCAACTGATCCTCTGCCCACTCACCCTCCCAACATACAGCAGCCGGACGCACACGTAACCATGACACAAAGCGGGACACCTTGCCACCAATATCCAAAAGCACTCGAGTATTAAACAAACCAAGCCTTGCGACAACACACGGCTGCAATCATACAACAATAATAATTACGAGCATTGCAACGTTTGCGATTGTGACATTCATAGTGGTTGTGTTAGAAAGAAAAACAAAAATCCCCGCTGGGTGTGCACGGCTGATTAGGATTGAACGCGGGCGCTAACCGCGCTGCCAATCCCGGCCGCGCGTTCAGGCAAACTGCCAGGCTGCGCGAACCCCGTAAAAGCCTCTCGCCTCAGGCCGCACTGCTCGCACGCAACTTCACCTGCTTCTCAATATAGATTGCACACCAAACTAATTAAACGACGCGTCGTACGATCGCCGAGTACGCGGCGCTCACCCCTAAACCTCACAATACAGCGACAAATATTTTTTTTTACGAAACAATAAAACGAGAAAGAAGAGAGAAAAAAAAATCATTACATCGCGGATGGTGGTGTTGTCAACTGCGGCCTGTACCTTGCGCCTGCGGACGATGGCCCTCGCCCGCCTGCGTCCCACTCCGACGAGGACCCGCTCGAAATCATCGACGCTCGCACGGTTTATGTCTATTTGCTCTGCCATGACCCGCGCCGGTCGACGGCCCGTGCCCTCTTCGTCTTTTCCGTCGCTGCCTCGGTGCCGAGTGGTGTTGGTGAAGGGAGGAGGAGGAGGGGGGGGTGTCGATAGCGGTGACGGCGGTGCGAGGCGATGTCGGTGCCCCCTGGCTGGCTGTGACTGGGGGAGGTGGATGGGGTTAGAGAAGTACTTTTGGTGGCTCTATCACGTCGCTTGCTGGCTTCTTGCTGGCTTTACGACCCGACCCACTGGTTACTGGAACGGCGAGCCGTGTCCTTCTGACCGATGACCGTCAGGCTGTCCGATTGGCTGGCTTGCTATGATCAGCCGGCTATCTTGTTCCGCTGGCTTACGGGCTGGACAACTGACCAGCTCTGCGATTATACGACTGAGTAGTTACCTGGCGAGGTATCGATTTGACTAGCCGATTAGATGGCTGTCAAGCTCCTTACCAGCTGGCTCTGTGGCTAAGACCACTGCCTGACTTGAGGTCATCTGCCTCTAACCGACTGGCTGAACGGTTGACCGGCTGAATGTGTGGCCCGTTGTGACCAGGCAAGGTGAGATCGCCGCCGAATCGCTCGAATCCTCGATCGCTGTTGCCGCCGCCACTGCCGCCACAGCCACCGCGTTGAGTGCGGAGAGGCGAGCGAGTGTGGGAGGGCGGACCTGGTGGCGTGTGCGAGCGGGCGGGCGGGTGGGTGGGCGGTGGGGGGGGCGTGGGTGGCAGTGCCGGACGCGGACTTTATGGGTGGGGGGGTTACATTTCATCAGCGGTGACGAGGGGGTCAAGGTGGTGTTCGGGACACGGCTTTTTCTTTGGCCAAGCGTCACCCGTAGCAAGTGTGCCCATTTTACTCTGGAATATATTTCTGTACACAATGGCTCTGACCTGGAATATGCAAGTTTTTTTTTTAATGTGGACTGGTCTGAACTTGTCCCAGCAAGTGAGATGATTGACATTTTGGAGGCATGACTTCCGCCTTGACTGCATCCATATAACGGGAGCATTATTGCAGTGTTTTGGTCAGGCTTAACCAATGGTGCGGTGCTTTCGCAATCACGTTTGTAGCTACATTTTTTCAAAAAGAAAACCAACATACGGACCAATTACGAAACCTATTTTTGGCATTTCCCCCCCTACGAAAATGATCATTGGAAAGGTTTCCAAAGGGTGATCCAAGCTAAGGTATAACCTCCAACTTTAGGCTTTAGACTGAGCAACACTGGAATTTGAGTAGTACTCTTTGGTTCTTTCGGTAAAGTCACGTAGAAATAAATATATCAATTATTTCTACGTAACTTTACCAAAAGCACCAGAGTAATTCCTGCAGTCACGAAAGCTCCAAATCAAGTTTGATTAGAGTATTTAGATAACTAAGCATCCACCCCCAAATACAAAAAAATATCATGGTTCTGGGGGAGAAAACTCCATAACGGTGTCCATACGGTCACAAAATACTCAGTTAACACAATACAGATCATAATGGTTTATTAAGTATGGGTTAATTACAATATAGCATTGTTTCACAAACTGAAGATGAATTCTGCCAAGTACCCAATTGTACAGCAGCACACCGCTACATATTTTGAAAACCAAAAGCTCACATTTTGTAGGCAACATGAGGATGTTGAACACTACAGAAGCCAAAGCCTTAATGAAAAATGTATTTGCATCACAAACCACAAATGCAGATAAATTGCATCACCTGAAGAAACTTAACGTTGCACTTGCCTCCAGTTTAACCGAGAATACAAAATCGAACTACTGTATATGCTTAAAACAAACTCCTTTTACCTTTCATCCAATCACAATATAAACTCCTACAACTTCCAATGGCAGTTAGACACATGACTGCACACTCATGATAGAACCATCTTGAAAAATCCATTCAATGTACACAACTGCAAATAGCCTGTCATTGGGAAACACCACACCAATTTCAGCAGGTCACAGAAAACCAGGCATTCAATAACTGGAAAATTAAACAATCATATGGACATTGGGTCATAGCACAAGAGGCTGACAACTTTGTAATATTGCTGCATTTTGGAGAAACTAAATCACCATATAAAACATGAGGAAATCACAAAGATCCACAACTTTATCAGCTCACGTATAGTAGCAACACTGAGTTTGTTTTAAAATTACTTTGGAAATGGTACAATTAAACAACAGTAAATAACATTGGCTAGTTTCTCTTACCAAAATAATGGAAGCACAGTTCCCTCAATTTAGGCCGATTTTCAAAAGCAATTTTTTTTACACGAGTAATAGGAAATGTACATGTATACAACTTGCATCGCCATTTTTTCAGATAAAAATTGAGAGGGAATCTTCTGGTGTCCACATTTTCCAGAAGCATTTGACTCTTAATAAAAGCCACAAACTTTAATCTTTAATGTTTTACATCAAAGTTTGTGCATTAAATATCAACTTATAAATTAAATGATTATTACATCAATAACCCAATTTAGCCAATTGGAAACTCTTAATCCAAAACAATCTTCGATCATGTACTGGCAGAGGCAGATCAGCAGAGGCGACTGTGCTTCCTAGGTCAAATGCCACATTTTGTGCACGAGCAATGAAACGTAACAAAAACATGAATTTGATCTACAATAACGACCCAAAACAAACTGCAGCTTAATTGAAAATAAGTATTCTGTACACAGCCTTCTGTCTGTCTTCTCTAATCAAAGGGGGCTGTGAGGTGCTCCGGTTTGTTGCCAGCCACGAAGTGCTCCCACATGCGATAGTAGAGACGCTCCAGATCTCCCCCATACAGCTTGTTGTTGAAGAGAGGGCTGCCCAGCCTTTGGCGCCACACCTTGGCGCGGATCTTTTTGAGGCTGAAAAGTAGCGAGGAAACGAAAGGAGATTATTAATTACAGTGTATTTAAAAATCTTACTGTAGAAGAAAAAAATCCGAATAAAAAAATCTATGAAAGTTCCAACTATGAGATATATTTGGGGGATGGTTATACGTACTACTCAGCATCAGTGCCGAGCCTCACGGCAATCTCCTCGTAGTCCTGTCTGTTCTTGGCAACCAGTTCGGGGCAACCCAGGGTGGTCAGCTGTGCAGTCGCCACACGTGACGCAAGTGTCTCAGCTGCCAGGCAACATGAAGCATGCAAAAGTTAGCGTTATTCGCAACACCAAGGAGGCTATGATAGGCAAATGTGTGCAAAAAATAATGAAAAACTGACAAATGTTGAGACTTTACAATTATCAAACATATAATTTGAAAGTATAAACTTTCTTAACATTAACCAAGCTCTTTAGCCTCACGAATTTCAACATTTAGGCTATTACATGTTGGCCTATGACCAAATTACAGGGAACGAACAGCCAATTTAATCGGATTACCAAAGCTCGGTAGGACTGAGCCTGAATAGTGCTTGCATAGGCAACCAGCAAGCACAACAGACTGTGATAGCCTCGAGCTGTGGGTGGGCAGCAGAGGGCACTGCAGCAAAATCAATTATCCTGTGCTAGGTTCCCTGCCTTCAGCATCTGCACTGACCAGCACTGAGAAGTATCGTCAAATATCCTTCACAACCAGCACAGCATGGGGAAGCCCTCATTCAGCAGTGGAATAACAAAACGGCTGTATATGATACATCATATTAATTGGGAGTTCCCGTAACTTGTAAAACAGTTTCGTTTGGGCGAGCTATCGCTAATTATGCAAACACTTAATTTCAACCCGTGTGTTTTTTGTACTTAAAAACAGTGCAACGCACCGGGTAGGGTGACCATGGGCGTGCCAGCCCACAGCACGTCCATGCCGGTGGTGTGACCGTTGCAGAGCGGCGTATCCAAGCACACGTCGGCCAGTTGCCCGCGCCGCACATGCTCCTCCTTGGGTGCAACTGGCGAAAACACAACGCGGTTCGCTGCCAGGCCCAAACTCTGCGCGCACGCCGAGATGTTGGGCTCACCCACTGCCGGAAAGCGCAGCAGCCACAAAATGCTGTTGGGCACGCGCTTCAGGATCTGTAACAGGTACAGGCACGCACACGCACAGATAAGCTTAACTGGAAACCAGACGCGTTGGACACGTTCAGATTTGTAAGGATGTGTAAAGGGCAAATATTTTAAACAAACAGCAAAGCATTCTTCCTGTTTCTAGGAACAATGGTCCTTGTGACTTTCTAGAATGCAAATTGAAAATCTAATTGTGTAAATAACCCCATTTTACAAACACTAATCACTCACAATTTTAGGTATTTAGTAACCGTTTGCAAACAAATGTGAAAATATGTATAAAGTACTACTACTCACATTAACCCACATCTGAAGAGTGGCTGGGTCAATCTTGTACAGCTGGTTAAAGTTGCAGTACACGATAGAGTCCTCCGGAAGTCCATACTGTGATCGCGTGGTCACCAAGATGCTGCGTGGCACCTCCTCACCTGTCGCTGCTTTGTTGTTGATCTAAATAAGACATTGATGTACTTGAACAAACTTGTCTTCTCATTGTAAAGCATGCTTCTTTAAAAACGTGGTTTTAAATCCCATAATTATACAAGATTAACTTTAGTGTAATTCATTAAATGTTTTGAACAGTTTTTAGTGTTGCAGGCTTTAAAAATCACTCTTTTGGCTAAAAAGAAAAACTAATGTAAAAAGCACATGCCATACAAAATAAAGTTTGCAGCAGCATTTAGAGGTCAAAATTCACACGTTTACCCATTGTGAAGCAATTTACCACAATTTAAATTATTAAAGCCTAGTTATCAGCTGTATAATTAACAAGTTGCTTGCAGGTTAACGAATGAGAAACACTTTCAACATTTGTTACCTGACAACTCTGAAAGGAATGCACACAAGCTAACCCACATGCTCATCAACTTCGAGGAATGTGCTAAATTGAGCCACTTCCGTTTCAGCAAATTCCCTTTTGACATCACGAGTTAAGAAACAAATCTCAGCTATCACCAACCAACTTGTGCTTAACAATACAACGGGCTTCACAGTTGCTTTCCGCTGAAGTATACCGTTGAAGAACAGATTTATTTAGCGTCCGTTTACGAGCTTACTTTAAAACGGGACCCCAAACCCACACTCTCTCACCTGTGTTGTCGCCAGCCCATTGGTGACAACGAAGTTGTTGATGCTGACCTGCACCTGCCCTCTATTTATCATGGTAATAATTGCCTCAGCCGCTGTGTTCATGGGAACCACGGGCAGAGCGATGGTATTCTCCTGGTCATCATCGCCACCCTCCTGATATTTAATCTGTAAACACGGACACACATTTTCAGTATCAACTCACCAGGTCTCACGCGGTTATCTACTAATAAAATCTTCACGGTTGAACATGGGCAAATATTACGTTCATTTGCAGCCTATCGTAAGAGCATGAAGTAAACTCAAGTTTAACGAATACAACTTGTGATGCTTAAATCTTAAATGCCCATTCACCCAGCCTGAACTAGATTGAATGGTACTGTTATCGTGTGTGCAGAAAAATAAGAACCCAAGCTACATGCAAATCTATTGTACATTCAATTCTTTGGGGCATTGCCCCAAAGACAATGTTAGCCAGCAAAATCCAGTTTTACCTGTTGAGTATGTCAGTAAGAATTTCATTATTCAAATTGTGGCATGTGCCACGAGGTACCTCAGCTCTTTCAATCTCAAGTGCAACTATCAACAGGGGACCCCCCCCCCCCACCCCCCGAGATGACAAATGGATCGCCCCCCCGCTCCCGGATTGAACATGAGAAAAGTGCACGTTTAAGAAAGATTGCATACATAACCAAACAAGATCACGCTATCAACAAATGTGAAGACGTATTTACAAGCCGTCTCGTTAAATTATTCTCAAATGCGAATCTGTAAACTACTCATGATCTGCATCATTCGTTGTTTCGGGCTTTCAAGTTACAAACAAAACTGGCCAAAACGGTGGCTCACCTTCATGACCTTGACACCATCGCCCAAGGCATCAAGGAAGGCCTGCATGTCAATGCTGTTGAGAACCACACGGTTGTCATAGACGAGGCCATTTGCCTTCAGGTCAATCACTGCCTTCTCCTGTGAAATAAGAACATTTTATCATTGCAAAGCATTCACAAAGTACTTTACGTGATACAAATATGTTTTTAACATACAGAATGCAATATCAGCAGCTTTGAAGTCTTCCAAACTCAGGGTCTCATAAGTGTAGGGCAAAAAGAGTAACACAGAATTATATAAACGAACAGACTGTCAGGTACGCAAAATTTACTGCCACAAGCAGTAAACCGAAGACCCCATACCTTGAGATGTGGGAACATGTTCATGTGGTCGCCAATGAAGAAGGTGTTGGGCATATACGCCAGCTTCTCGGAATACTGCGAGGAGAGCTCTATTGGTGACGTTACTTTGTCCGTCACGATGTAGTCCATGAAGGCAGCGCCACTGGTTCCTGGGTAACCCAGCCACATGCACTACACATGCATGAAGACAATGCCCAGTGCACAAAGAAAAGACAAACACACACGTGTCAATTTAGAGTCCCTAACAAAGCACGGAATGAATGGCAAAGATATGTCTTAAAGGGCGCCACGGTATAAAGATGTTATCTACCGCGACCGGTATACAGGAAGTCGTGGGTTCGATCCTGACCCTGACACCTGTATATTTGGAGTTTGAACATTTACCCCGTGGTTGTAGTTTTTCTCCGGTTCTTCCCTCCACACTTAGAAACATGCGTTTAGAGCATTTGGCTGCTCTAAATTTCCACAGGCCACTTGATTGGGCTATCATTAGTGGCAAGGTCACCTCCGAAAAAGAGCTATATAGCTCAGTGGGCCTTACCTGGTAAAATATATTTTTTTTAAATGGTGTACTGGAAGATCTGACGTGTGACTCACCTGCACAGGTGCAGGGCGCAGAGCAAACAGCTCGTTTCTTGCCCCCTTGGTGTAGCCGTTCATGTTCACCAGGATGTGGATTCCATCCTGGTGGATCCGGTCTGCAGCCTTCCCATTGCAGGGGATCTGTTTTCAAAGAAGAGCAATTGGTGTAAAATGGACAGTATTAAAGTTGAGATGTTAAAAAAATGTATGAAATAGTAACATATTTCAATTGTAAAGCAGTGCCACACACACCTGTGAGAGATCAACAAAGTGTTGAGCCTCAGACACAACTTTGGAGCGGAAGTTTGTTCCATCATCTGGGCTCAATGCATAGCAAAACACCTGTAAAAACACAACACAATCCACACACGATAAAACAATCCACAAATATTTGCACACTACACACTTCGAGGCTTTGCGTTTAGCATCACAGAATAAAATATTGATCAGAATACCCTTCTAGCTATCCCACAAATTGGTGCCAATGGCCTAAAAGTACAAATATTGATTACTATCATCGAACCTCTCCACACAGTTTGACCCTTCCACGCAGGCAATGGTCAACATTCAAACGATTCAGGACCGGGCGTGTGGCCAATGCAGCACACCTGATGCACAAATAATTCTTATGGCGGTACCCCAGGGTACCAAATAATACAAACTGGCCGAGGCAATTCATATTTTATTTCTGGGACACAATTTTTTCCAGGGGTGTACTTAACTCCGCGACTGGGGTACCAATCAATCCGAAATCAGTGCAGTCGAAACCCTGAACGCTCGTATCGCCGGCCATCAACAGAATAAAAATTACTGCATCACAGACATTACGTGAGAGCCGGGGTACCGCCATAAGGTTCAAATGGCGTATAACAGATTCGGCAGCCTGCGAGTGCGGCCACGAATACCAAACCATCCAGCACATTGTAAACCCTGCCGCAGCTGCTGTTTTCACTCCTTTAAAGGAGGAAGGGATGAGATCCACTTTGCTTCTGAACAAACCGAGTGTATAACAAATAAAAAATTAAATCTTTAAATCTGTTATTAATCCATAGGAAAGAAGATTACGCGTCAGCATCTCACCTCAACCTTGTCCTTGTTGTGCATGCCAGGGATGGACTGCATAAGGTGCGAGGTGGGGTGGTTGCCAAAGTCGGAGCTCACGTAGCCGATCCTCAGGCGTCCATTACTTGTCTTCAGATCCTTAATGTGCTCAAAGGGCGGCTTGTGAAGTACATTAATCTGTGAACACAGCTGCAGATCAGTCTACAGCGATCACAAATAGGCAATGCCAACAGAGGCTAGAGAAGTGTACGGGTGAGCCAGCTTTGTCAATAACACGGAAAATAAACCAGACATAAGTCTGTGCATCACAATATAAACAACAAACACCTTGTCAACACACTAAGCCTAGTACCTCCGATTAACACGGTTGACTACGTACGGTGCAAAATAATTTTAACATATAGCACAGCGTTCAATCTGGTCAAGATGCACAGAATAGGTATGCCAGCAAAGCATGGCAGTATGGGTGGCGACCAAAGCCAGGGTCAAAGTCAAGGCACGGACCTTGTCGAGGCAGAGGTTGCCATGTCGCTCAGCGATGGCCCTGCGGAAAGCGTGCGAGAGGGGATACAGCATGCTGTGGTGGGGGTGCACCGACGGGAGGCGGTTCTTCTCCAGCTGCTCTGCCACTATCTGCACGAGCTTCTTCATGCGCTCGTCATAGTCCGTCCAGTCGCAAATAATCTGAGAAAAAAAAATGTACCAGTAATTCTTGGAAGGAATTTCACAACACGAATAAAGTAAAAAAACGGCTAACGTTTTTTAAAACGTGGAAATAGATGGACGAACGCTGGGTCTCACCTGCAGGCAGTGCGCAAGATTGCAATAGGCATCTGGAAAGTCTGGCTTCAACTTCAATGCAGTTCTGTATGATGAGATAGCTTCAGGAATATTTCCAGAATCCTGTCACGAGAGGAATTTAATATTCACCACAATTACACAACAAAATGGGAAACACATTTAATAAAACAGGGGGGTTACGTTTAAAGCAATAATTTATATGCAAGTTTTACTGCGCATAGCATCGTTTTTTAAAGCTTGCAGTGTCCGTATATAATCAAATATATTAAAAGCGCAATGTGAGCAGTGCACCGAAAAGAATAAACACCGAACCAATCAATGTAAACCAATCTACTTGAGATTTGGATGATGTTGTGAAAGCATCCCGTGGGCGTGTACAGCTGTGACCCCACCACACCGACCTTGTGGATGGAGGCGAGGTTGCTGTGTGCATCTGCGAAGGCAGGGTTGATCTGTATGGCGCGCGTGTAGCACTGCAGCGCCCCCTGCACGTCCTGCATCTCCTTCAGGGTGTTGCCCATGTTGGAATAGGCGTCGGCAAAAGTTGGGCTGATCCTAGAAGGTGGAGATTAAAAACGCAAGCGTTAGGTTACTCCCGAGTGCCTCTTCTATTGCATACCGGGCTACCATGTATGGAGGGAGGTGAGAAGTAGTGTGTTGTTGTACCGGATGGCCTCCTTGTAATGGAGGAGTGCATCCTGGAGCTTTCCCTGCTGCTGCAGCACACTTGCCAGGTTCGAATGTGCGGCCGCAAACTCTGGAAACACCTGCAAAGCAAAAACGTTAACACATCCGCCAGTCACATATTACTGCAAATTATGGCACGATTACAATTCTATACATTGCACAAGGGCCAGTACTGTTAAAAAAAGCCCACTGCCGCAGCCAAACCTACTTCCCCTTTCGAGGACGATATCGGTTATGCTTTGGAACTTGTCAAGCCATGTTGAAACCAGTCGGATGAGTAAAACGTGCAGCTCATGCACAAAGCACTGGGCCCAGCAGGTCTCACCTCCAGGGCCTTGCGGTAGAGGCGTACGGCCTCCTCTATGTTGCCTTGCTCTCGCTTTATGTTGGCCAGGTTGTTCAGGGAGTCCGCATGGTTTGGACAAAGGTGCAGCGCTGTGTTGTAGCATTCTTCGGCCTCCGCAATCTGACGAAAGCACATTTTGACACGCACCATTAACCAGTTTTCTTTGTGTGCAATGTAAATTCCCCCATTTGTAATTGCTTCCTGTAGTGGAAAATACTGCAAAACTAAATTAGAAAGTATTAACCAAGCACAAGACATTCCAGTACAATCTAGCCCCAGTTACCCGAGATAGTTTAAACTCTTGGCCACAGCTAACATCAGTTAAGAGTGATATCTGGTCTGGTCCTGTCCTTACCAACCACCCCCCTTCCCCAACCTGCACCCATTAGCATGGTGAAGTGTGGTTTAACCCAGCAGTAAATTGACAAGGGCCGTACGTGTGTTCCGACGCGATATCGACAACCGCGCACACCCAACTCACATTTCCCTTCTCCTTGAGCGCATTGGCCAAGTTGCAGTAGGCGTCGGGGAAGTTCGGCTGCAGTTCAATTGCGCGGCGATAAGTGTCAATGGCCAGATCAATGAGACCCTGCTCATAGTAGACGCATGCCAGGTTGCCATGCACCACCGCGTGGTTGTGGTTCAGGCTGAGTGCGCGCAGGTATGCGGCCACCGCCCTGGGTTGTCACACAAGCAAAAATGTTAGAGCACAAATGATACGCGGACAGGTTTACAGCGATTATACGAGTGGAAAGCTGTTAATGAGTGCAACAACTAATGATTAAGTTTGAATAATGAAACCATCATAACACTGTTTTTGATGTCTCATGTTAAGGCTGTTGTGAGATTTAGCATTTTAGACACTAAAATTGTACGTAAACAGATATACATATTTTGGCAAGTATAAAAATGTATTACCTGTCAAAAATTCTGGCTTCCTTCAAGACATTGCCAAGGTTGATATAGGCATCCAAGAAATTTGGGTCCAAGCTTACAGCCTGTAAATATAAAAAAATAAACATAACATACATTAACAAAAAGAAAAACGTGCCACGAGAAACAGAGCACATATCTCCCAACAGCAGAATATAAAGATAACCAGATGTGCGTGTAGCCACAACTTAACTATGTTTACATCAAGTTATTAACAGGTTTAACTGAACAAAATCTTTATAATAATTCATAATCACAAATAAATTTGTTTACCTTTTCAAAATGATGAATGGCAAGCCATATCTCTCCTTGGCTGTTGAACACACATCCAAGGTTGCTCCAAGCCACGGAGAAGTTTGGCTGCGTTTCTATCGCCTTTAAGTAACAAGCCTTTGGAGTTTGGAGGGTTTCAAAGCATCATTTACACAGCGATAAGCAAAGACGTAACATGATAGGGACAGCAAGTGGAGACGGCTATAGAAAGAAACAGAGGAAAGGATGGAAAGGGGGGTTTGGAAGGCAGCGTGGGGATTGAGTGGATGGGGGGGGGGACGGGGAAAGAAAACAAGTGTTAGTCCAAATAACACTGCCAAGATCAGAGTTTGAGGCAAGCCTGTAGCATGGTTTCAGCGCGCGCGCGTCAGCGCCAGACAAAAGCGCAGGGTGGGGGAAATCGGCCCTGCTGCTGTCGTCGATCAGCCTTCTGCCTCGCTGAAATCGCCACAGAGGCCACGTAGCATGCTCTAGCGCCCATCCAGCATTGTTGAGTTATGGAACATGGGAATTTGGATTTTTAGCAATTTACTTGAAAAAAATCTCATAACTAATTCCCCGTATAAAGTTTTTGTTTTTTTACAACTGAAAGCAAAATAAATCAGGAGAACTTTTAAGAACAAAAAAAAAGTATACATTGTGGTATTCTGGTTTTGTTGAACAGGGAATTAGTTACCTTTCAGGATAATTTCTTTACGTCACTATTCAATGTGGTCTTAAAAAGTGTCACAACCGTCAATGCTGGACAGGCCACTTGTGCTCCATGGCCGCTATGTAGGAGCGCAGGGAGGGGGAGCAGGGGCTGGGGGCAAGGGTGGTGGAGGGGGGCGGGGGGGAGGGTGCAGGGTTGGGGGGCTTGGGGGGGGGGTCGCAAGCGAGCGCTGCGCACGTGCTGCCACGCATATTGGACTCGCTCCACTCCGGCCCTACCGCAAATCGCTCAGCGCTGCTACAGGCCTGCCCCTTCGCTAAGCGCAAGTCGCAGCGCAAAACATGACACAAAACCAGACGAGACGTTGCAGTAAGGACATGGAAAAAAAAAGATACAAAAAAATTAGGTTAGAAGTCTTTGTGTTTCTGTAATGTATTTAACACAAATTATATTCAATTGGTCAGGGTCAACATTAACGTTACTGTTTTGCATCTTGATGAGAGGAATTAAAAGTAAAATCTCGTTCTGAAGTTCCTTTTTGTCACAAAAAGTTAAGAAACAGACAGTCCAAAGTGACGAGGTACAAAGTAAGGAGGGATGATGGAGGCAAATTGCCGATTTGTTTTCTTGCCGATGCTACAAACCCCTTTTACCATCATTCACTTTTTTCACAGGCGATGCTGGCAGACTGAGCCACTACATCCGGCCTCGAGCTCGTTGCTTCGAAGCCAGGCACCTACAGGGCTTTTTCTCACCTTCAGTAACCTTTGTCAACATCATTTCAATAACCAAACGGAGAGAAAGAATAAAAAGACAAAATCGTTAGTATTGGTTCACAACAACAGCAACAACAATGAGAGAACAAAAATCACAATCTCTCTAGTGCCCTAACAGTTTTAGACTTCTCTATTTAATATGTAAGCAATGTTAACATAAGTTGGGGCCCTGAATTGTTTTTAGCACTATTTAAGGTAATTTAAATTTGGAAGGCGGGGTGCTGGTGTGGCTGCTCCACATGCTGGCAATGCGCAATCCACTAAAAAGCCTGATCCTGGTTTTACAAATGGAATACAGTAAAAACAGGTTAACTTCATGTCTGAAAGAAAAGCATCAAATTCCTATAAACAGCCAGCGCAATGTAATCCTATCGCTGTATTTCGCGCAAAGGTGGGGTTGCTGGGGGGGCAGGGAGAGCGCGCTTCGGGACGCGCTGCCGTTAGTGGGTGCCGCTCAGTAAAGGTCGAGCCAAGTACATGGCACTTAACGGATTTACCACGCCAATACCTGAAACCAACTTCCCAAGCAGCACTACTGCCACCGCACGTCCCAGAGATGCCGCACGGCGACAAAACAAGAGTTGCGGGGCTTTGTGATCTGCGGCACCCAGGCCCGACAGTGCGCCCCGTTTTATGGTGAGGGGAGTGCGGGGGGGGGGCGCATTTGTGGCGCGTGCACGTTTAGGATCGGGAAGCAAGGGGCTGGAGGCCGCACCTTTCACACAATCGCAGCGCCAAGATGCATTCGGCCTACCGCCCCACACCATGCTTCCTTCACCCTGTGCGGTTTCGCTTCAGCGCAGCATTAGGTGGCCAGCATCCCAATTATATATTATTCCCATTCACAGTCGATGATGCAATCTTTTTTGCAAGTTGGATGAACGATGAGAAGTCAATATTTATTACTGCATACGGCCACCTTATGCTTTTCCTTATCATACTTTGCCAGCATGTCTGCACAAGCCAAAGGAGCACAAAGTGCCAGATTTCAATGCTGATTAAATTTATAATTAGCTCTTATATGTGAACATAAGGCCTGTAGCCTTCATATGGCCAAGGGTCAATTGCAAACAAATGTATACAATCTATTGCTATATAGCTAAATAATCATATTTCCTAACGTACAGGACTCTCGGGCAAGCCAATTCATTTTAATGTTACATGCGAAAAGGATTCCTTTTTGTGACCATCGAAAGGTTCCCCCCCCCCCCTTCGAAGTGAACATGTATTGTGATACGTGGAATCTTTCCAAATTACAAGCGTCTCCATGAATGAGACGTGTAGAACATATTTGAAAAGTTTTGCTTGACCAAGCAAAAACAAATTACTTTAAGTGAAGAAAACACGACATTCACAAGGGTCCACTTGAGAAGTGGTTTTAGTCGAGCGGCTATTTCGTTGTATTGCATCTCACTGCAATATGCCCAGAGTCCTTTTCCTGCCCCAGACAAACGGCATAGAGGATCAGAAGTCCTACCTTCGCCTCTTCTAACCGACCAAGAGCTTTAAGCAGATTTCCCAAGTCACTGCGCACACAGTACAGGTCCTATGGAACAAAAAAGGGCAGAGATACAAAGTGCAAATTGTTAGTTTTATTCAGACCAACAGGCGTGTGTCTCCTGACACATCAACTGCACAACTACCTTTCATCATTTTTGTACACGTAAATTACTGTCTTTGGAAATGTTCTGCCTAGTATTTCACCACAGGCAATGGGGCAGCCAAATGACATAAGCCGTGCGAGGCAGAGTTAAAGACAGGTGAGAGTAAGGCACTGCACTCACTGGGTTGTACTGCAAGGCAGTCACGTAGGCCTGCACTGCGCCCTCCAGGTCCCCGGCAGCCACCAGCGCCGCCGCCAAGTTAATGTAGCCGTCGATGAAGTCGGGCTTGAGGCGCACGGCATGTCTGTAGTGCTCCAGAGCCTCCGCCAGCTGCCCGCGCTCCTTGAACACGTTACCCAGGTTGGAGTAGGCCTCCGCCAGCATTGGATTCTGCTTAATTGCCAGTGTGCTGAAGTGTGCCGACCTTCACATGAGGACAACCAGCGAGGATTAAAAATAAAATACCGTTAGGCGCTGAGCAGATGGCACTTCACACCCCTATGAAGAGCTCGTGTATTAAGCAGACTTGACAACACCCATGTAAAGTGATGCAACCAGGCAAATTCCGTGGTGCACATTACTTGTAGCGTTGCCAATGGAGGGATACTATCTTCCCTCAGTCAAAGCTACCCATGTTTGCGCAGGTTCTGACTCCATTGGAAGAAATAAAATCAACGGCAATGTGAAAAAGAAAAACTGTTAAATAGCAGTGTAAAATGTTGAGGACTGTACAGCATTTCCATGGAATGCAAAAATTCTTAGTTTCCTGCTATTACGTTTTTTTTCCATTCACATTTCAAACATACCCTGCAGATGACGAAACAAAAAATCCAAAACTGAAGCCAGTTCCTGCACTTGATGGGGGTAAAATGGCAGCTCAATTGTCTCCAGCCAACCACATTTAAATGCCAAATTGTTAGTCTTAAACAGCCCGCAAACACTCCCCACAACTGACTGCATGGCAAACAATACAACTGTGTGTATTGTTATCAGGAGGCAACAGGCTCAAGATAGCTATCCACAATCCATGGCAACAAGAGCCTTAGATTCCTTATCCAACAAGTACTGGTGCAATGGGCTCATTTCAGCAAGTTTCTCAACACTCCCTCGTATTTGCACAAAGATGGTTTACTAACTGGTGAGATATGGTTGTCGTTTCCATGGTCACATCATAACATTGTCAGAAAAAAATGTCAAATTATATATGAAATGCCGAGGGCCAAATTCTTAAGAGGTGCTGCTATAATCGAATACTCCAGGAACTAGGCTGTACGTAAAGCTCTGGAACTGTTCAGAATGTTTTATAGCATATATCTCCAAAGCACAAAAGCTCCTGCCACAAACCCTGCAACTTTGCAAGTGTATATTTATCGACATAGTAACTGGCACAAATTTTATAATCTATTCTGCATACTCACCCATAAGCCACCAGGGCAAGCTCAAAACCCTCACAATTGCAACATTTATTGGGCTGTCCTAAGAATGAGCATGCCTATCCAACCTGGCTGCATCATTTGCATAATCCATGACCAATGATGTTCATTTAATAAGCATGAGAGTCGTGTTTCTTTAATGTTTGTAAAGAAGACTCCAGGCCTCGGAAGTATGATTTGACCTTACTTCACCACACTCGTCGGTACGGATTTGTGAAAGAAGGGGAGCAGACGTGGTGGAACAATTGACTTTGCAGCAATGCCCATCACATAGCCCCGCATGCACTTTGACGGATCTGTTTGTGCACGGTAGTCGGCAATGTATACACAACATCTAGGATCAATGCCGCTCAGCTTCCGAGAGCCGGGGTCATTCCAGGTTAAAGCATTGCATGGTAGAAATTGCTCAGCAGCCGTGGGTTCAAGTGTGAGAAAGAAAAAAAAATCACCTGTCGAGTCGACGGCACTGGAAGTGGATGGAAGAGAGTAGCAAAAGCACTCCCGTGTTGTCCGGCTCCTGCCTCCACAGCTGCATGCAGTGCCTCTCCGCCGCCTCGTAGTCCCCCGCCAGGTACTCACGGTGAGCCAGCTCCGCCAACCCTTGGAATGACAGTACACGTTTCGTTTGGTCTGGGGAGGGACCCCACGCACATCCGAGGGAAAAGGAAAAAAAAACAAAAAAAACATTAGTATGGGTTGATGATGGGAAGGGGAGGAATATAAAATGTAAATGTATATTAATATTTACTAAATACGGTACTCGCAGAATTATTACTTCAAAGTAAATCTAACCAATCGTATTGGAGTTTAACGGATGTGTTTGCAACTGTGGTCTTACCAGACAGGAAGACCTTTTTAAAAACTGAATGGGTATGCATAAGCACAGGCAATTGAATAATCCAATCATCATGCAACTGGATTATTTAATGGAATACACAATGGGAGGAGGGGGTTTATGAGGAAAACGAAAAGCCATGGAGTCGACATCACTGAGAAAACACAGATACAGCGTTCAGCCTGCAACATCAGAGTACAGAAGAATATACTCACCAGGACAGGCATAGAAAAGCTAAACAATGCAGTTGACAGATCAGGAAACACGGACAGTGCAAAATAATAGAAAACACTTCCTTGTGGCTTGTGCATCTATTTTACAACAAAAAATCGATTTAGAACCAAAGCACACGAGACATTTTAATTTTCTCAATGTTCACACCTCCGTGCTACGCTACACGTTATTGTGGCTGCCACCCAACATCAATCCGAAAATCATCTACCTAGACGAGACATCGACTTACAATCTATTACTGTACAGAAGACGTTTGTGGGTGTAAGCGTAAACCAGTTGTCCACTTCTGAAACGTGGTTCACACGGTACAGGCTACGCTCGCGCGCCCCCGAGTGGACTAGAGTTGTAATTTTTTTAAAAACAGCCTCATCATTTCATGAAATGGCGTCTAGTTAAATATAGTGCTGCATTATTTGAGCACACATATGATGGCAGTCTCCTGCCAACACACCCGACGTCAAAACCATCGCTCGCTTCCGTCTTCAGTTATTTTATTACAGATATCGCGTCAATGATGACGGTCAAACATCAATCGTCCCACCCGCTGGACGAAGAGACCTCGACGATGCCGTCGCAACGCCTCGCCTTCCTACAATCTCATTCCTACACCGATATATGGTTTACAAATCCCGATGTGTTCCACCATTATTGTGGAACACGTTCTTCATCAATGTGTTGCCACATCTCCAAATCTAACCGGCGGTCGCAATTCCCGCCATTGATCTGATCTCGACAAACACCACATCTGGTGATATTAACACGTAGAGGCTTTCGCTAAGCAGTGGTGCACAATTATGGGGGGGGGGGATTAACGTGTCAATCCTTTGGCCTAAAACATAAATAAATCGGCGACATTTCACGCGATGACCGTTCTTCATAGCACGTACACCTATATTCATTACAAGTTCCGACTCATTTTTATGGGCACATTTGTTCCCCACGTTCATCCCAAAATCTGCGTCATTAACTGGCCCCGTTCTCTCGCTTTATCCCCCCTCCGCCGCTTCCGAGTTGTTGTGGAGCGCCTCGAGTCGCCATCGTGGTTCAGCCTCTGCCGGTACAATAACACCACCACCATCCATCTTACGTAACGCAGTACAACGCGCTTTGGCCGCCGGTCGTCGTGTGGCGTTGTGTACATGCTTACATTTTTTCGGCACGAAAATACGCGTAAAACACAAGTGTACACGGAACGAATACGAAAGCCCACTATGCGCAGCAGAGGTCGGTAGTATTGTCGTTAACAATACCATTCACTGCGCCTTCAGCCTCATTTTTTTTACGCGTTCGCCATTTCCAACAGCAACTGTTGAAATCACATTCTAATGACGAATACATTAAACGGCGTGGCATGCTACGGCTGGCTACTATTTTACCGTGCGAGACACCCACCGACGCATATATATTTCTCCGCCAATTCAAACCAAAGCCTCAATTAACCAGGGTAATAATAATACAAAAGCGGATTTCGGACCGCTGGAAAAGAAAAAAAAACTCGTGTCTAGTTTCCACGCACCGCCATTTACATCAAACAGACGAGCCGCTTGCGACAGCCGTCTAGACCCAGGCGAGCTTGGCAAAGGCCCCCACAGAAGGAAGAGGAACGTGCCTCGCTCAACCCGCTCGATTCTCATCGTCGATGTAATGTTCGCGCCGCGAGGCCATCGCGGCCCCGCCGAGGCCTGGTGGGAGAGGCCCTCAAAAACGAAGCCTGCCACTCGCCTTAGGGCGCGAGTCGCTGACCACCACTACGACCACCACTACCAAGCCTCACCTGTCGTGTCCGTGACGCTCGCCACTCCTCCCACGGCGTTCGCCATGTCGGCCGGCACTTCAGCGAGAAGACGGTGGCTTCGAACAAAATGATTGCGTCTTGGCGCAAAGGACGAACTTAAAACGTTGAGAAGAAGCGAAGTGGAGAGGATGGCGGGGGGGGAAGATGGACGCGAAGACGAGCAGCGTCGCGCTGCCCGCACAACGACCGGTACTACTTTCCGCCGACTCACCGCGCTTTAATGAAATAACTCCGCCCCCCTTAGAAAATAACACCCGTACTTAACACAACACACGCGGCGAACGGTTCAATCGACAGCATCGCGCGTGCGTTAACTCCAACACCATGTACACAACCGTCGGCGAGTTTAATTAAATAAAATTGTGTTCAACGATATTCAAATAGGGTGGTCGGGGTGGGGTTACACGGGGTGGGGAGCACGGGGTGGGGGGCACGGGGTGGGGGGCACGGGGTGGGGAGCGTGGGGTGGGTGG